TACGCGATGATGTGAGTGTAGACTCATGCGCGTGCGCGTACACCCACTAGGAAGGTTGGGCTGCATGTCACCCCCCGCGTGCATGCAGCCTCCTTAACAGCCTGCATATGCTTGTCCCGCTTTATGCCTGTGCACGTGTATGCGTAACGACAACAGAGAGTGTGTGCGTGTATGTATATATGTGTGTTTATCGTGTCTATGTTATGTTTTGACGTCTTTCTCTGACACGCAGGCGTCATCGGCCCCCACGGGGAGATGGGTGCCGAGTACGGCCTACGTACGCCACGTCAGTCCGGCAGCCGCGGCGGCCCTCGGGAGGAGGAAGGGGTGGCGGTGGCGGCGGCGGCGGGGAAAGTCGGGCGTCGGTCGGCTCAAGGTGAGCTGGGGGTGTGGCGGGGCCCCCCGTGTGGCGGTCGTGATGGCGGCTAGCTAGCTCGGTTGCCGCGTGTGTTATGGTTTAGCTGTGTAAATATGTATGTATGCATGCATGTATGTATGTATGTATGTATGTATGTATGTATGTATGTATGTATGTATGTATGCATGTATGTATGTACCACTTCCACGTGCAAGGAACGTGAGTGCGACAGGGGGCCCCCTGTGGGCGCCGGGAGGCGGGAAGAGGGGGAATGTGGTTGTGAGGTTGGTGCAGAAAACCGCATACACATCTACACGTGACACTCGATACTCGGCATGTCCCGAAAACTGCTCTCCACCCGCCACATAACTCCACCAGGACTAATACCCGCCGGCAGCACCTTTGCACCCGCCATCCCTCCTCCCTCTCGCCCAACTCCAACCGCCGCTACCCCCTTACAAAACCCTTTTTTTCCATGCGCACACAAACTCAATCAACGTCTCGCTCCACGTCGGCAATAGAACAGCACAACGCCCACCGCAACCGGACATAAGGACACCGCCTGCCACTACCAGCGAGGCGTCCGCGGAGCAGGTGGGGACGGGAGAGGGCAGGGGAAGCAGCAGCGTGGGAATGGACGGACCCGTAGGTCATACAGCGCTCTTTTTCCCTGGGATGCTTATGTGTTAGCTGGTAGTAGTTGGATGGTAGTTTGGCGGTTGGCACACCGAGACCTGCAGTCCAGCGCCCCTGTCATTGCCATGTCATTGTTCCTGGTGTGTTCGGTCTGTCTGTCTGTCTGCCTGTGAGTCAGTTAATCTATCTATCTGTCTGTCTCGTTG